ACAGATGCCAACATCTGAGAGGGTGCCCCTTTACTGACATTAGCCAGCTTACTCTCTGACTCCTCCTGAGGCAATTAGCATGTCAGGACCAATCAGACGGACAGCCAGTGAAGACATCCAAAAGACATGCATCTGCTTATGAGCCAAGCGGCGCTCTCCTTCTTAGCAACCACACGCTTGAAACTATTTTTAACATACTAAAATAGAACGAACACCTGCCTATTTTTCCAATATTGATACTCTTTTTTCACTGCACAAAGTGTGCCAGAAAACTGTCGCTCCTTTCTCTTCTCCCAGTGAGGTTTGAAATCACATGGCTATAAAGCACACACATTAATTACCACACATGCCTGAGAAGGGCAAGTCACCCTTTGTCATATAAAGGGAATTCTGATGAGGTCCTTTATCTAGTCAACACAGAAGGGAATGTATATGGAGTATATAAATTGGAATATTGAACAATTGAACAAAATATTGAACAACAAAACACACAATAATACTGCTGAAAAAATTTAATTATAGATGTGAGATGTCTAAGAGTGCAAATAGCTCATTAGTTCAGTCTTCAAAAATACTCATTGATCTGATCTTTCAAACACTGCTCTGAAGGCATTTTATTTCTATCAAACACTTTGGGTTCAAAGAACAAATGTTTGGCAACTGAAACACAAACTCAGAAACTATTTTCAAGAGGTGCCTTTAAATTAGTTTTAGTGCCCTGGCAAACACCATGTAATGTGGAGGTGATTCTGATCTTACTTCATGCATCTTGTTTGTATGTGTACTTCAATTGACCCTGAGCATGTACAGAAAAAAACACCATAACCATAAAAAAGCCTTATGTTGTTTTCCTAGATTCTTCCTAGAAGCTGCTAACCAGCATTTGGGGGTTATTTCCAGCCCAAGACATGCTTTTCCTATCTGGATTCTTCCAACAATCCTGGGGCTGCTCAAGCTCCAAAAATGACCATAAAAGCACCATACATCATCATAAAAGTAGTCCATATGACTCTGCACTACATTCAGAGTGTCCATTTGGTAGCTTTGTGTGAGGAACTAACAAATATAAAAGTTGTTATTCACTCAAAATTCTGCTTAACACCATTCACTTTCATGGGACAGAGAAAATCTGCTTGGCCATTGCACTATAAACATCTAGGCTACTTTTGTGTTCCACAGAAGAAAGTCAGTCATGTAGGTTTCTAAAACATGAGGGTGATTAAATGATTTTCTTTATGGGTAAACTGCTTCTTTTCTTTAAGTCTGTCCTACCACACTGAACATAAGCTTTGAATTTAACCCTCTTTCCAGTTCTATGGCTAAATGAATCCTCTTGATCAAGTGATCGGTCATCGTTTCTGCACAGTACTAACTGGTGCCAGCTGTGGAGAGAGAGTGTATGTGGGGAGAGTTTTCTGTATTTGAACTGCCTCGAAACTAAACCCCACCACTTGGCCCTCAGTGACACTTCCACACATCTGGCCCACACATTCTATGACTACGCTCAATGGAAAAAAAAAACTACTCCATACGTTTAAGAACTAAGAGCTTTAAAGTGGATTTCATGGATCTCATGGATTTGGTATGCCCTGAAGTCCTGGCAATAAGTTTGTCTGTTTCATGATCATCATTCAAACAGCATGGAAAATATAAGGATACAGTTTTCTATATCTTACCTGAATGAAACTATACTAACACTACGCACACTAATCTTACATTGCAAAAAAAGCTCTGACGTCTTTATTGGAACTCCGTGGAATGTTAATTGAAATCAGTCATCTTCAACTGTTCAAACGAAAGGGCAAAGAAAGTTTCACTAGACATTTAATCCATAGTATAAATAAATCATTCATCAGAGATCAAAGGCTGAGCGCTGACAGATATTCAGCTTTCAGACATTTTTAACAGTTCCACTCAAAACTGCATCTTATTACTGGCCTTGGGAGAGAAGGCATCAAGTTCAGAGTTAGGGCTGCACGATAAATCGAAATGGAATCGAGATCGCGATTCGACAGAAGCTGCGATTGTCATGCGTATCTTTCAGTGAAGCACGGTTCTGTGATCAGCAGTAAATCTCCATCCGAAGGCCAGAGGGCGCTCTCGCGCTGAAACTCCAAATATGCCCCGAAGAAGTAACCTACAAATTGCGCATGACAATCGCATTCGATTAATCGTGCAGCCCTATTCAAGAGTTCAGTCTACATTTACAGCTACTAGTTTGGTAGATTCATACATGTACCTACCCATAGTTTGGTGTTGTGAGAACAACCTCAAGAGACAGCCTGACATACAACACATATACTCACCTAAAGTCTAGACATTGGCTATATCCAAATATGCATACTTCCCTACTATATAGGCTAGTTGATGAAAAACAGTATGTGAAAAAAGTAGTGTGTCCACTCAAATTATTCATAAAATAAGTACCCAGGTGACCTACTATTTCTGGTAAATGTAAATACTTCATCCATTGGACTTTACTATCCAGTGATGCCATGGGAGAGGATTTGTGAATAGCAGTGAAGCAACACAACTGACGCAGTAGGCCACAAGACTATGACAACATGACAAATCTAGTACGTAGCTCAAAGATGAAAAGGGTGTTTCAAGCACCAAAAATATAAAAGTGTAATAGAGCTTTAAATTTAGTTTTTCCCCCATACATTAGAATGTGTCCTGTTTAACTTTATATTTTTCTGAACAAAAAATAATTACTATCATGCATTTTTTAGTATGATTTACAGAAGACACCCACTAAAATGTCATTCAGTGTAACAATATTTATATACCAAAAAATCTTGTTAGGCATATTTTAAACATGAATCATTTGATGACATTATAAAAGACTAGATTTAAGCATCACAGTGCAGCCCTCAAATACCAATTAACTATCATTTTTTAAATCTTTATACTTTGCTAATGACCTTCAAACCACTAGGTTTTACCCATTTGTCAGCAAGAAATTTTTGTAAGGAAGTGAAAGTCATTTAAAATATAGGCTAATAAAATTTTGTATGATCACATATTCTTTTTAGTATTTTAAGTACAGGTCAGAATAAGTATATCGTTTAATTTTTACATAAATATATCCATTATGCGGAATGACCATGGTTTGTTACTCTGAATGACGATTTGCCAAAAAGAGAGATAATATTGCCATTGTTCCCATAACTGAAATGTTTTTAGTATTATTCTGTGTCGTTAAATTAGTGTAAATTAGTGAGTAAATGACTGCAGAAGCAGATGTTGAAATATAATAAGCATTTTATTCTACCATTTTATGCTCCCCTGCCATGCTTGCTTAGCTTGTCACTTTGTTTCTGACTTGCTCTGCCCCAAAAATCGCTGCTTGCAGCCATATTTATTAATACTTTCTATTCTATTCTAAACATAATACTTATGTTTGCCAACATAAATGACATTATCAGGATGAGTATTTTGGGTGAATCCACTCAGTGGCCTCTCTTGAACTTGTTAACATACTGTAGTGAGGGGAGACTCTCTGTTCAGAAATATTGGCAAGCTATTATTTTTCAAAAAAATCTAACAATAAAAGTGTTTTTTACAGGCATTTCACTGAATGACGTGTTTTTGTAACTGCGGATACCACACCATGAAAAGGTGGAATTATCAAATATTCAAGAGCAATAAACTCACTTTTCTGCAGCACCACATGGTCATCAGGGTGCCATCTGATGATGTCACAGACTGCTGAATGACTATCAGTTTTTTATATGATTTCAGAATGGCTTCTTGTTCCTGTTACACTGAATGACCTCTGATAAACTGCATTTTCAGGACAAAAGTCCCCTGGTTATTTCGTAACTTTAAAAAAACAATAAGACATAGTCCTTTTAATATAACACAGCCAACACTTGAAAATGCCAAGACAACCAATGTATTTTTTAACTTGGTATTTTATGTTTATTTAAAGATGTAATGGTAAAATCTAAATCCGGACCATTACACTGAATGACAAAGTTATTTGAAATGGGAAAGTAGACTCTTTATTTGCATTTAACATGTCTTTTTATGTATATAAAATTACTTTTATAAACTTAATTTGATGCGGAAACCAAAAAGGTGACCGCATCACCATTTTGGATGTACTAACCTGGATCACATCCAGATTAGTACATCCAGTACTTCAACAGTTGTGTGACGTAAGTATTTATTCAAAAGAAGAACCAATTGAGGGAGTATGCGATTTCAGACACAACTTTTGCCTTTCAGGTCACAATTTTTAAACTACCTATTTATAATGATAAACCTCCAGATACTTATTCCTCTAGACTACACCACTTCTGAGAAGTAATGTTCAAGGGATGTATGGCAACTTGAGATCTTCTTTCATGATAACTTTCAACAACTTGGCAAAAACAGAGGAAGGAAAATTTTCAGATTGCTGTTAGCTTCATATGTTTATCTTTCCACTGAGAGATGCTATTGTGTACTCACCTGTTGATCTTGGCAGTGACTTAGTGATTAAAGAGATGTTCAACCAAAAATGAAAAGTCTGTAATCTAACACTCATACTCATGTTGACTTATCTGACTTTATGACTTTCTTTATTCTGTGGAAATTAAAGGAAAGATTCAACAGAATTAAGGACTGACAGCTTTCCCTTATTTACTTGTTCTATTTTTTTTTTTTTTTTTTATTATCTGTGTTTTTTGTTCTGTCACTGTCATTCTGTTACACTGTGGAAGCTTCTGTCACGAAAACAAATTCCTCGTATGTGTAAACATACCTGGCAATAAAGCTCATTCTGATTCTGATTCTGATCTTCATATTGTGCGTTCCACGGAAGAACGGTCATGAAGTAAATGATGACAATTTTCATTTCTGGATGAATCATCTCTTTAAATCACATGCATACAGTGCCAAAAAGACTCAGAACGCATCTGAACAGGCCACCATGTACTTTGCCTGAATCGATTGAGTTACTATTGCTAATGAAAAAGCCTCAGGCCAATGAGAGAGGAATGGTTTAACCCTACCTGACCAGCAGTGTCATACAGCCCCAGCAGGTACTGTTTTCCCCCAACCGTCACACTCACTGAAAACAAAATCACAAACAATTAGTTTAAATATGGAACTCAAATTATTACATGAATAAATGCACTTCCATTTAGAGTAAGAAAAGGATGTTGCTCACGTGTTAATTATTTCTGAAAAGGTGAAGGAATCATGTAAAATAGTATTCATTTCTGATCAAGTGAAAGAGGGATGCAGTTTCTTTAAATTTATTTCTAATGAAGTGAAAGATGTACACAATTTTTATTTATTTATTATCATGTGAGAGAGGAACGCAAATTTGTTTACTTCTGAAGTGAAAGAGGTCCTCAATCTGATTTTATTTACTTCTGACCAAAAGAAAGAGGAACCGATTTGTTTATTTCTGATCAAGGGTGATGAATCGTGCCATAAGGATGCTGGTGTGCACCAGTTGCATCCTCAGCCCACAGGTGGTTTCATTTATAGAAACACAAGCGCAACACAATGCAAGTCACTCTGAGGTCTTGTCAATACCACTAAATGAATGTTAAATACATTTATAAATCAAATAGACGCTGAAATATTGATTCATATTCATTATGTCGTAATATGCTGGTATATTTACCTGCATAATGATCAAAGACAGTGGGCACATATTCCTCAGGAAAGGCGTCGTTGGCATAGCTCATCAGCAGACAAGTTTTTCCAACGGCGCCGTCGCCGACGACCACGCATTTCAACATGATGCTGCCGGTTCCGTTTGCCATGACGATAATAAAACACTTGAATTCACCATCTTCAGCTGCTAGAGATATATCCCGCTTTACTAAAGGTCCCTTCAGGCGTCACCACCAGCAGCAGCGCCGCGCTCGGGCAGCAAAAACAGCTGAAATGCCATTTCCTCCACCCCGCTTCCCAAATTTGGCATTCACTGGGGTTTTCCTCCTCTCAGTACTCGCTTCCGTGAGATTTATGCAAGCGACAAACTTCGCGTTGTCAAGACATCAACCTGTAAAATACGCCCTCACCGCTGTTACACTTTCCCTACTTTCCAACCCCAGTATCACCTCCTCTGACTCTTGAGCCCAACACGGATTGACTTGCGACATAGGCGGGGGAATAACTCTGGATCAAGGGATAAAGTATAAAGATTGGTTATCGTTGTTTAGTGTCTGAATCAACCAACCATTATACCATTACATCCTGTGGATCTGAGAGTCAGACTAAGATTAATTAACCATTGTAAGAGCAGGAACATAAAAGTACTTCATAAAATAACTCAGAAAAATATTATTTATTGCTATTTTCCAAACATATGTGTGGACTAAAACAATAAATTTGCAGTAATCCAGTGTTCGTAGAGATTCACTTCTTAATATTAACTGTCACCCACTATCCTCTCAAATGTCTGTATCCCTTATGATACAAAATCTTTTAAGGGTTAAATTATTGTGGTTAAGATTAAACATTATATAAACTGTTTTTTATTAACTGCTTTGATAACATTACAACTATTTTGCAGCATGATGTTTTAATACTGGATTCATACTTACAGCAAGTCTTTGACGAAACCTACACTTGACTATAATTTGATTTTACTTGGTAAATGGGTTTTTATTAGCGAGCAGCTGGTATTCTTCTTCATACGTTTATAATTTGTTGCAATCACAAGTAAGAGTCATCTTTTTCGTTTCTGCACTTTCTAGATGATCCCTACTCTGTTCGCAGTCCAATCAGCTGGAAGCGGGCAGGCTGGTCAAGGATGCGCTGCTGTATCACTTTTGACAGCTACTGCAGGAGTCATGTGACCAAACAATTACCTCATACCTTATGAGCGGGTGTGTGTGTGTGTGTGCGTCTGTGCTCTGTGTATATGGATTTGTGTGGGCGCGCGCCTGCACCACATCGTTTTATTGGTGCGCGCCCACACAAATCCATATACACACACATTCGCTTTGACATTACTGTGTCTGTGCAGATTCTCTTGTCAGATTACTTAGTTACATTTGATATATTTATGTGTGTTAAAAAATTTATTTGAAAGAAAACCACCATATTTACTATCATAGTTTAATTAAATAAACATTTATTTAGCAATTAATGAATGAGATTTTTACGATTGCTCCCATGGCAATTGGCTGGTGTTAAGTAAATTGTTGCATGTCATTCAAAACTGGGAGTTTAATGATTCGTGTCACAATAATTGTATAGTTCATACTTTTTAAAGAACATTTTCAGGAAGACCTTACACTTATATATTTAGATGTCATGATTAAAAATCCTTCCTAGCTGTAAATACGGCCAGATGCAAATATGATTTTGTAATAACTTAATGGGTTTTCAGCATAGACTGTATAAAAACATGGACGTACTGTCCGTGACGTCACTCGTAGGTTCCCGAAGAGCGTTTTTGAAGCTCAAAGTGGGCGGAGGCGTCACCATCTTGGCAGCGCGTCACCGCGCGTCACTCCCGGATAATCGAAAATGGGCAAAGAGGCGGGAGCAGGTTGCTGAAGCCACGCCCACCTAGCTTCACAGCAGTGTCAGCGGCGGCAATCCACCTGTCACTCAAGTGGCCACACCCTTAATTATGCAGAACTTTAAGGCTTAATGTAGTTTAAACGGATGAGTTATTAAAAAAATTCACCCCCCTCACAGTTGTCATGAAGGGCAAAATTAGCTATATAGACCAAAAGCATTTTTTGAACCAGGCTGTAAACGTTTTTTTCTGATGTAAAGTTGGGCATTTTAACATGGGGAGTCTATGGGATTGACTCCCTTTTGCAGCCAGCCTCTAGCTGTCAGTTGACGAATTACAGTTTAAGTCACTTCCGTGTTGGCTTCAAGAGAGAGAGCCGGAGGTTGCCGCTTGGTTTTCAGATAGAAATGTGAAACCTTTCTGAACCACTAAAATGTGGTATTGTAGTAGCCTATTACTTCTGACTGAACTAATAAGAAGCTTTTTAAAGGATTTACATGATTATATTTTGACTGACTGGGCCACTGTGTCATTGCTTTAAAGGTACACTGAGTATTTTTATTTATTTATTCAGCAGGGGTGTGCAATTCTGCTCTTGGTGGGCCAATGCCCGGCAGAGTTTAGCTTCAACCAGTTCTAACACAATTGCCTGGAAGTCTCTAGTGAGTCTGAACCTTGATTAATGGGTTCAGGTGTGTTTAGTAAGAGTTGGAGCTAAACTCTGCAGGATAGTGGCCACCAAGGAACAGGTTTGGACTATATATGTATACGTAGATTCCACATTCAACATTCAACCGCTCCAGACACATCCGACATCGTGGAACGGTCAACCTGTTGTCACTCACATTAATAATCAATGAGTTTTCCAAGATGCCACAACATTGCACAGCCTCTGGTTGAAACCCCCCCCGCAGAGATTTAAATCCCTGAAGAAATGAGATAACCTTTCACAGTTGAGAATGTGTTGGATTCTTCTTTTATTTGTGAATACATACATATTTTCATATTTACTCAATATTACAGGTTTTTAAACTATATTTGTGATTTCATGTTAGTTAGCCTATATGCCTTTATCTTGATGTATTGTGTTAGTTTAGCAAAATCATCTACTCGTCTATTGCATATATAAATATTCATACATGCGTATAACTACTGTGGCAAATGTACAGTCAGCTTGCTCTTGTGTGTTCACGGACCAGCTTTGACTATTCCAATATGGCAGACAGCTTATGTGGCCATAGAAACAGCCACTAATGAGGCATCTGTATATCTAGGGTTCGGACACCCCAGTTTTTTATCATTAAAAGTTTTACACATAAAAATAAAAGTAGCCTAACAAAAATATGTTTACAATTATGTGTTCACATTATGTATATTCAGATGATTGCCATATCAGCTAGTGAAACCAATAAAAAATTTACCTGTGTGTACCTTTAAATGACCACAACTGACTAGTGATTACAGAGCTCAGGGTCCTATAGAGGAACCACATTGAAGAAAAGCACCTCTGTGGATTTTGATTGAATTATTGCCACATTGTGTTTGATATTGCCATGGCAACACTAAAACATTAGTATCATATATATATATATATATATATATATATATATATACATATATGTTTTTCAGTGTGTAATAAGGCTGTAGGTTTCTTCAGGCCTACTGCCAGCTTTTTGGATATCCTTAAATAGCTCTGAAATTATCTAGAATTACAGATATGTGCAGAGAAAAAACGAATTCAGAATGATTTAATGTTTTTTTATCAACAGGTTTTCACTTTCACTTTTCACTTAACAAGAGTGAGAGACAGTCCGAAAAAATTGTATTATATCTCCCTCTAGTGGAGAGTTCAAGTATTTCCGTACAGATGACAGGTTCTCTGGGATCGTTCACCTTCAGTTGCTGGTCCCCATTGACTTGTATAGTGTGTGGGTTTTTTTCATACTATGGAAGTCAATGGGGACCACCAACTGAAGGTGAACTGTCCCTTTAATTATGTCACATTAGTTTGTAATTACGTGCTACTTGATTAATATATAGGTAGGCTTCCTAATCGCTGTTCCATCTGCTTCCAAACCACTAGACATTTTATCTTGTGTCAGCCTTATATGTGCAAATTATGATTCACAATTCTGCACAATCGGTACACAAGACTTCAAAATAACACAGAACCGGTAAAGAAGCTGCAAAAGTACACAAATTACTAAGCAAAATTGGTGCTGAATAATGTATTACAATCTATTGACCAAGAATGAAGTGCATAAAACATACTACACTGACAATAATAAAGATGTACAAGGTTAAAGATTAAATGTTAAAAGATTGTTATGAGTCTTAAATGTTTGTTTGTGCTTAAAAGCTATTATAATTTTTACTATGTTAAAGGGGTCATATGATGTTGCTAAAAAGAACATTATTTTGTGTATTTGGTGTAATGAAATGTGTTTATGCGGTTTAAGATAAAAAAAAACACATTATTTTCCACATACTGTACATTGTTTCTCCTCTATGCCCCGCCTTTCTGAAACGCGTCGATTTTTACAAAACTCATCGGTCTGAAAAACGAGGTGTGCTCTGATTGGCCAGCTATCCAATGCGTTATGATTGGCCGAATACCTCAAGTGTGTGAAGGAAATGTTACGCCCCTCACCATACTGTTGATGCCGTGTCCCGGCCGGAGCGATGAGACAAAAACATTAAAACCCATTACAAAAGTTGATGTATTTCCTCAGCGACCAGCACGGATCAGCTCTAGGCATGACGAAGCGGATATTGTCCTCTTTTGGAAGGACAAACAAAGTAGTTTCGTTTTCACAACGAAACACAGCGTCTTCACGACATGGCGGCAGCAACAATACTACAGTGAGAATAAAAGTTACGCCTTCTTTCCTTGCGTGAACATTTGGGCGGCGTTATGCAAATCTTCCCACATCGTGACGTAGACATGTGGGGGCGTGTTAGAACGAGCCGTTTTAGGTAGGCGTGGTTGACGCTTAACTTTTATAAAGAATATCTCTGGATTTGAGACTTTAGTCCTGCAACATTACAGATCTTCTTTATGCACCAAGAGCTTGTAACACTTCAAAGAGAAAGGAAACATTTAAATCGCATCATATGACCCCTTTAAGTATTTTAAGAAATAGTCCTGATCTCATGAATGAACGCACAAACTCAACGACGTTCAAACGGCAACCAATAGATGGCGCAAATGGTTTATTCACTGTGAATCAACAGTTTAATATCCGAATATCATAAATTAAGAGTCACAGCACGATTTTAAACTAATCAATGACAGCAATTTTGAGAACTTTAATAGCATATATTCTGCTGTAAAATACGAGGATTTCTGAGTGACTCAACTGCAGTAAAAGTATAAGAGAAAGAAATGCAGTGCTGCGGCTCACACAAAAAGGTGCAGTGAGTATTAGAGCTAATAAATAATGTATGGCTCCGTGAAACATTGCCTTTCCAGCAATGTGGAGTGTAATTGGTCGCCTGCGGCCTAGTAGTTCGATGTCAGGCAAAACTAATGTCGAATTCACGAATCCTTACCTCTATTTATCTCAACCATCTTTACACTTCTGTCGTTGACTCTTTCGTCATTTTTTT